GGGAAATATTTATCTACTCTAATATGAAATATTTTAGGTGATTCTTGTGCTAATTTTCCATGTAAGAATGGTGCCGGTTGTCAGACATTACTTACTGATACAAATACTAATTGGGCAGCATATCGTTGTGTTTGTCCACCAGGATTTTATGGACAAAATTGTGATATAGGTAAAAATAATAATTATGATTATATTATTTTTAATAAGAATTTTTCTTTAGCTGTAAGTTCATGTGCAAATATGCTTTGTCCTTCATATAAAATTTGTAATGAACAACCAACAGGACCTGTATGTACATGTCCAGGAAATAAAGTTGGAACATTTTGTCAATATGGTAAGTGAAAAGTTGTATTTTTTTGTTTTGAAAAAAAAAATAATGTTGAATAAATAAGAAGGAAAGAAGGAAGAAATATACCTACCTTTCAACTACCTTGTAGTATGATATACTGCTCAACGGTAGATTCAATAGCCTGATATCTCTTTCGTGCGACTATGACTAACTGTAGTTCTTAGAGGCTAGTGATACTTAGGTTTGCACACAAGTAAAAGTTGAACATCGTTCATAACAAAATTTTGCCGATATAAGTATGTACATTTGAATATAATACACATTAATGTATAGAAGAACAGTATTAAGAAATCATATAATCTTAGTTTCATATCAATTGATATATTTTCATTCATGTTGATTTCATTGATAGTCTATAAAGATAATTGTTGAATAGAGATGGTACTATTTTACATCACATATTTGAGATTATTCTGCATAATGTCTATTAATATATCTCATAAATCAGAAATTGATTTTCTTTTTAAAGTCTTTTAATTTATAAGAAAACTCAATCTGATTATTTCTTATAACAATCTATTAAAAAGTTTTTTTTTTTATTTAGAAAATCCTTGTAGTCTATCATCAACACCTTTTTGCTTAAATAGTGGTACATGTGTTTCATCAAATACAGATCCTCCAATAGCTTTATGTCTTTGTCCTGAAAGTTTTACAGGTCCATATTGTAATATAATGATACAAAATGATCCATGTGCAAGTAATCCATGTCAAACACATGGTTATTGTGCATTATCAATATTAAAAACATCATATTCATGCATTTGTCAATCTAATTATATTGGTGATAACTGTGAAAGAAGTAACCAAAAAAAAAAAAGAATTATATTTTAAAATTATTTAACCTTCTTTTATATGACATTTTTAGTTAATCCATGTGTATCATCTCCATGTTTAAATCAAGCTATCTGTCAAGGCTATTGGAATACAACTAATACTTGGTGTATTTGTCTTTGTGTTGGAACATTTACAGGAACAAAATGTGAAACATCATTACTTAATCCATGTGGTGGATTGTGTATGAATGGGTATATTCTTGTTTTCTTTTTATGAAAAACAATCTAAAAGAAGTATAGAGATAGAAATTTGCATCCATCCACAGTGCATTCTTTTATCTGGCAGACGGATATTTGACTGGTTTACTTGGAAATGGATTTCTTTGCTCAATATGACACAGAAAACCATTTTGTTTTTGGAAAAAAAATTTTCGATAAAAAATCCTTTGTTATAGATCATTCGATACAGTTTAATATGCTGATTTCGAATAGACTATTTTTCGAAAGCTAGAAAAATTGAAAATACCTGAAAAAAACCTAGATTTTTTTGGAAACTATCGGTTCAGTCAGCCCAGGAATTTCTTTGAAGGTTGTAACAAAATTATTTGTACTATGAGATAGACACTATTTCGAAGTATATTTTCCTATATTTAAATCTTGAAAAAGTACGATTATCATTTTTAGTCAAATGTCCGTCTAAATACACACTTCGCCCCTCTTCCAGACATAATAGACATCTTAGCAATGCTCTCTCTCTCCCCCTCTCGTGTCACAGTCCGTCTATCAATAATATCTTGTCAAGCTTTTTTGTAAATTTTAAATCTATAAAATCAACTCTAGAAGTTCATGTGTTAATGGAGTATGTGTTTGTCCACCTCAATATACTGGAACATTTTGTGGATTTGGTAAATAGTTTTTTCTTGATCTAGAAATTTTTAATTAATAATTATGTTCACTAGATAATCCATGTTATAATCCTATGTGTCAAAATGGCGGTTTTTGTTCAGCTAATTTTAATTCAACAGGTGTGTCATTTACATGTACTTGTCGAAGTTCTTTTACTGGTCAATATTGTGAAACTTCTATTTATACACAATCAGCAAATGCTACGTGTACACCAATATGTTACAATAACGGTTCTTGTGTTAATGGTTTATGTATGTGTACATCACAATATGTTGGACCATCATGTCAATATGGTAAATAAGACAAAAACAAAAAAGATCTTGTATTTCTTTTTGTATTTTATAGAAAATCCATGTATTAATCGTAATCCCTGCTTAAATGGTTCTACATGCTTTGGTCAATATAATACAGATGGAACTGTATATGCGCAATGTTTTTGTCCTCAAGGATATACAGGAATATATTGTGAAGGTAATATGAATGTAAAAGAGATTGGAATCATTCATTAGAAGTTTTTTTTTTTTTTTTGTTAGCAACACTTTGTTCATCAACATCATGCAATGGTGGTACATGTATAGCAACTCAAAATAGTTTTGTATGTGTATGTCCGACAGGAAAAACTGGCGATCATTGTCAAGTATGATTTCATCTGAAATCTTTTTTTGTTTTTGTTAATTACAAATATTTATTTTTAGTATGCAGATGCTTGTGCAAATAATCCATGTTTACCATCTGAACAATGTGAACAAACAGGAAATCAATATAAATGTATGTTCATTATAGATTTAGCAAAAACAAGAAACACATCATATAGATTTATGTTTTCTAGGTATTTCTTGTTATGATAAAAGTAATTTTTGTTCAATGTATCAAAATCTTAATCAATATTGTGATAATCAGTATACGTTACTTATTAATAATATTTGGCTTCCAGTACCAGAAGTATGTCAACGTTCATGTAATCAATGTATACCAGTACAAAAGTTGAATGATAGACATTTGAAATTGATAGAAGAACAAGATTATATATCTGAAAATATGACAATAACTTTAACTTCTACAACAACAACAGCAACAATTTCAAAACTAAATATAATATTTTCACAAGAAGACAAATGTTTTGATCAACGAGATGATTGTTTAATGCAAAAAGCATGTGGATTTTGTGTTATTTTTAATGAAAAATATCCAAATGATTGTGTTAAAACATGCCATCCTGATTGTACTTTTCGTTCTTAATATAAAATTTTTTTTTTCTCAAAAACAAAAAAAATAAAATATTATTCTAACTATAAAAGTCAAGAAAAAACAAAAGAATATCATTGTAATAAATTATGATTTATGATATCATTTTAACAATACTATATGATAAATTGAATAGATGATTGCTCAAGTCTAGAAGAATATATCATTTCTACTGACAAACCATGAAAATTTTTTTTTTTGAAAAAAACCGTTGTAAACTGCAGCCTTTCGAATAATCAGGATTATGGGTTATACATTCGAGAAGAAAATTTCTTAAATAATTTAAATAATTATTTTCAGTTTAATTAATAATAATCCTATTGCATTTTGTTTTGATTTTATATCAGGATTCAATATTAATTTATATATAATTAACGTTGAAGTATATATACGTTTTTTTCATGATTTAATTAATTTTTTAATTAAATCTAAATTTGATTTTATAACAAAAGAATTTTTATGTATATAATTAAGAAATAAATCTTCTAAAAGACGTTGAACAGATATAGCATCAACTTCATTTGATATTACTATTGAATTCCATGATAATAATATAACAATTGTATCAATAAGAAATGTATTTAAATCTTCAAATGATTTTTCAAATATTTGATTATACATTTGAATAATTGATTTTAATCAATAACGTGTATAACATTTAAATATTGTATATGTATGTGTAATAAAATGTATTAAAAACAATTTTATATTAAATCTAACTATTGAATCACTAAATTTTTTTATAGAAACATATCATTCAAGATGACATATCTGTTTGAGAATTAGTATTTGATGATATAATACCATTTGTTTCCATATGTCTAAGTAAACAAATCATAGGTATCATACATGGATGTAAATTAAGTTCATTTATTTCAATTTCTAGAAAATTTCTATCTAATTCATTATATGTACCTTCAATTAATGCTGGCCTATCATCAGATTTTTTATTTAACCCTAGTACTATCAGTCGGGGTCAAAAATTTCAACATATACTAGAAAAATTTTGTTTCTTTCTGGTTTCTGGAAGCAACTAGCATTTCTCACGAATAGATACACGTTGTTCAATCTAAAAAGAAGTTCATTTTTTTTCTACATTATTACAAGTCTTCGGTGGAATAACATGTCTTTAGTATACAACAAACATATAATATGAAAGGGGTACAAGTTAAACTTTCAAAACTGCAATGCAATGAATCATTTACTATTCCAACTGAATATTTCAGATCCATTAAAAAATATTTTTTTGAAGTAGTTTTGAGCTGTCCAATTAGAATGGTAGATGATTCATTCAATTGTAGACTTAAGGTTGACTTGTCTCTTTTTTTTTTTGTTTCATATTTATTGAGTAATGAGGTCATTATATCATATTAAAGGTGTGTAATAGTATAGAAAAAAAAATGAACTGCTTTTTAGGTCCAACAACATATATCTACGTATATCTATTAGTAAGAGATGCTAGTTGCTTCCAAAAATCAGAATAAAATAAAATCTTTCTAGTGTATATTAAAATTTTTGAGTCCAAATCAAAAATGACTTAGGCCGGTAGTACTTGGATTAAACAAAAAATATTGTGATTTTCAATTTTGAATTAATTTTGCATAATGAATAGAGGCTTCTCAGCAATGAAAAATTCAAAATAAAACAATTTCATTCTATATTAAAAATGTTGCTTGGATACTCGATATTATCTTAACTCAATAAAATATCTAGTAAAGAAATACAGCAGCGTGGCGCAGTGGAAGCGTGCTGGGCTCATAACTCAGAGGTCGGTAGATCGAAACTACTCGCTGCTATCACCATTTTTTTTTTCTTTCTTTCTTGTGGTTAATGCTTAAGAAAAACAGAACAGAAAGAAAAAATTCTTCGGCTTGTCATAGAGAGGAAAAAAACTATTAAATTTTTTTTTCTTATGCAATAACTAACAAATTACTCTCGTACTCATCATTTTATATTTTTACAATATACAAATGTCACAACAAGCTAATTATGATACTGACGATAATTTTGAAATGGTAAATCCAATATCGCCGATAAAAAATCACGAACAATTTGAAGTTATTGGTAAATAAAATTATATTCTATTTTATTTTTATTTTTTTTCATATATAAAAAAACTGATAGAAAATTCAATCGAAAATATTTTACATAAACACAAAAAAATATGTTATCTCTTATCATAAAAGTCATTTCAATTGAAACATAACGAATAAACAAAATACATGTAAAATGTTTTTATTTTAGAAGAAAATGTTTTCGAAACAATAACATGTAAAAATAAATCGTCATCATCGATAAGTTCAAATTCAAATCAACATGTTACTATGATCGAAAAAGAAAAACAAATACCCGTGAAAATTATTAATCAATCAATATCTAATAATAATGTTAAACAATCATTAGAAAATTCGTCATCATTAATAAATACAAATCAATTACCAATTCGATATGGTGTAGCATCAATAATTCCACATGATGAAGGATTTGATTTAAAATCTATTCTTAATAGTAAACCAAGTTTACCTATTCAAACAAATGATTTAATGAATATTTTACAAGATGAAAAATCTAAAAAACATTCATGTATGGATAATAGTATTCAACAAATCCTTACTGATAATAATCATGATCTCAAAAGTCTTATTCAAAGTGCTAGACAAGCTCAACAAGATTTCATTAATGCAATTCATCTTGATTAAAGTAACCTCATTCTAATTTACTCCTATTTTTTATTTATATTTTATTAAAACAAGAAAAATAATAATAATAATAATAATAATAATAATAATAAAGTCAATCAATAAATATTCTAATTAGAAATCGAATAAATAATCAGATTAACAATAATTGATATTTCAAGAAGATTTTTTAACATTCTATTATTTCTTTTTGATATAATACGATCTCCAAAACATATTATACTAAACCAAAAACCGATATTAATTATAAATACTGTCATTGAATATTCTACTATTTTTCTTATTAAACAATATATTGTTTCTAATAAAAAATAATCAATATTGTAACCAATATCTTTGATTATTTCACTACGACGATCAATAACTTTTTCAAAAACATATTTTCGATAATAATAAATGCATAAAAGAAATAAAACTATTCCTAAAATACTTAAAATCATTTGATACTGTACTAATTTTTTTCTTGGTATAATTTGAATATGTTCTCTAACTAATCGTTCTTCAATTGGCTGACATTCATGTTCAAATTGTCCTCGACGACGAATCGTATGACAATAAATACATTGTACAAGTAAATCATCAAGCATATTTCGTATTAGTCGATTAGCTTTGGGTAAATAAATATTATATTGAAGAGGAATTGCATCATCCCATGTCCATCGACAAATTGGACATAATGGTTCAGCTAATTGTAATATACATGAACGACAAAATGCGCTATCACAAGGTGTATGTGTATGAGGATCTTCAAGGATGTCGAGGCATATAGGACAGATTAATGATGGAGAAATTAGATGTTCATCCACATATGAATATGCGATTTTATTCATCACTGGCGATGAAAACAAAATATTTAAATGAATAAGAACAGTAACATGCACAATACTTCACCGGGGATATATATAATATAGACGCATGCAAGTCAATCGATAAAATCTTCAAAGAGAGAAAAAACAAAGGTAAAAAGAAAGAAATATATAATAGCTGCACCTTTCTTCTCTTTCTCTCTTTTATGCACGCATTTTGAGAGACATATACAAGATTATAGTCTCTATTTTACACATTTACCTTGCGGTGTCGACTACCAATCAATGAAAATAACATGATGACTCACATTTTTTTGTTTGACTTTATACTTTTTTTTTTTTCCTGGCACTTAAACTCCAAAGAATAATAGTTTTTGAAGTGACATGCACATGCAACACACAAACACACAGAAACATACACACACTCTTGTTATAAGTACATCTACATTTTTTTAAATAAAGATGTATCAGATTAGTTAATCAAATAAATGATTATTCATCATTTGTTTTACAGTCTTTTTAAATGGACTTAACCAGATAAGTTGTTCAATAAGTCGATGTATAGACGAAACATATTCTTCAATATAATAAGAAAATTGATAAGATTTGAATGGTATGATTTCTTTAGATGAAAGTTTTGATATTGATTGTTGGTGTTGTTGTTCAATATCATCCAGTGAATGCGTTGAATATCCATCATCATTATCTATTGTCGGTTCATCGAAACAAGATGATGATGATGATAATGACGAAGAAAATAATAATGGTGATGATGTAATCATTGTTTGACAAAGATCATTTTCATTTTCATCGTATAAATCATATACATAGATATTAGATAATTCGATACAAATCTTTGGCTCGTCCTCTTCTCTATAGAATATATTTGTTATCTCATTTTCAAGATCTATTATAATAATAAAAAACAAATTAAGATGATAACAATCAAATATATAACTATATATATATACGAACCATCTTGTAATCGAGTTGAACTAAGAAAATATTCATGTTTATTTTTCAATGTTAATTCATATTCTTGATTTTGATTTGATAGAATATTAATATGTAATGGTAATTCAATATTATTATCAGTATTTTTCAATAAAATATTCAATAAACCACGATGATTATCATATTCAAGACCTATTTTAAAATCATCAGTTAAATAAACATTTTGACAAACGATATTTGATGTTTGAAACATATTTGATATATGGAATAACACAAAAACAAAAACTACTTAGTATATTTCAATATGCACTTTATAGAATACACCTCGATGTAACGTGGTGTATTTATATTTCTTCTAATGCTGAAAGAGAAATATATTGACTACATTTTTTCTTTTTCTCTCTATTTCTTTAGTTGTGTTAGATGCAAAGAGAAGAAAAAACGAGTTAGCGCGCTCTCTCTCTCTCTTTCTCTCTTTCTCTTATAGCAAACAAGTGAATTTTCCTCATATATATGATCATATCGTTCTATTTTCTAAACGATCATACTAAATTATTGTTCGTTAGACATAAATAAAAAAAAAAAAAGGTATCCATAATGTCGACAATTTTTTTTTTTTGTGTTGCTTTATTGTGTTTCTATAGGTGATTCTAGAAAGAATTAGCACGTTGTTTCCTATGAAATAGAGAAAAAAAAGGAGGAACATATGCACCATATCTTTACGCTTGGGCAAGGACGTTTGCTAATTATTGATGAGAAAAAAAAAGGCACACTTAGCATTCCAAGGGCATATCATCATTATGATATACAACATCAAAGAGATGTGTTTGAAAAAGGCTTGAGTAGAAACCAAAATATTTGATAAAAAAGAAAACATATAAAAAGATTGATGATCATAATAAGATCTTCTATATCAATGAATAAGAAAAAGAATTAGAACATAAAGGATGAGTTGATAATATATTGAAATTTCTCTAATTATTTTCATAATGTTCTAAGATTATGAATTCTTTTGTTCAAAACAATATAATATTAAAATACATTGAATATAATTGAATAATATAAATTTCTCATATATATATATATATTGTTAGTAATAAGAATGGTTTGTAACATGCATTATTTTTCTATGTTATTCAAATAGTGTTATATTACATATGAAATATAAGTATTAGCCTTGAATAAAAAGAACTTTATAATTTTGTTTAATAAGAGATCATAATTTCACAATATAAATCGTTTCATAAAAGGTATTGATATTAAAGATTAGTATCGATTAATTTTCGGAAGTTTTTTTTTTGCAAAATTGTTATAATGTTAAAATACGAATAACTCTTATATCGTGTTATCGATCAGGGATGGAGGATCGGTTCGTGCTTTTTTGAAACAGAACTGATCCCTTTTACTGCTTAGTTGTATTCATTAAATAAATTTTTAGAATTTCAAATAAATTGATGATAAGAAATTTTGTGAATCGAACGGTTTAGACAAAGATAGTTTTTATTTCAGTTTTTTAATCTTTATCTATTCGGTTGATCTCTATATTTTACTTTTGTTTATTGCTCGTAAGTATGTAATAAAGACTATGAGAATAGTTTATCTATTCACTGTAGAAAGCATCTGTAGTAAATATACCGAATCCCAAGGTAGTCAACTATCAGTATATTACAAGCACCTTCGTGTACTTTATTGGTTTTTAACACTTGATTACAAAATGCTTCTAAATGTTCAATCTACTAACTTGTTGAAAAATTTTTTATAGAACGTTACAGCAACTAGGCAGGTACCTGGTAATTATCTAGGTGCTGAGACAATTCTTAGTAGGGTATCCAAAGGAAGATTCTATAACATACTGGTAACAGAGGATTCTACTGACAATTGACTCAGTACATGGATACCTTTAATGCAGTACATTCATTAGGGATAATAATTATCAAAGTTGAAATGTTCTAGGGAGGATGAGAGAAGATATTAAACTTAATTTTTTTTGTAATGAAATAATCTTTTCGAATAATCGTATCTTTTAATCGTTATATCAATCAACCATGAATCAATAAATTAATAGTTTAATACGCTTCAACGAAGAAATCTAATTTATTGACAAAAACAAAAGAGAGTCATATTTTTCAAAAAAAAAAGGATCTTTTGAAACAACATTCTTATATTTGTAAATTCTAATTTTTTGAAATAGAAATAGTCGTAGAATTTATTTTATTTCTTAAAATAAAGTATAAAAAAGAGTTTTATGTCTTCTATTCTTTTGTTCGAATATGTTATTTACTCTTGAATGTTTTTTCTTTCCAATTAAATTATTACATAAAGTTGAGAATTTTTATCACGTTGCCTTTTACACTTTTTTAAAATATTTGTATAAAACCCATTTTTTTAGTGTCTTTATCCGTTACCCATGTGTCTTCATTATATTTGTTTTTTTTGATCATTTGAAGGATGTAATGGTTGAATGAGAGAGATAAGTGATATGAATCTTGTCATTGGCAATATCCATGAAATCCACCAAGTTACATAGCATATTGACAAGGGAATGCATCATACATTAGAACTAGTTTTAAAAACAGAAACAACAACACACTGCTATAATAACCAAGAAAAATACTTACATACAACAGCATATTATGATTTCATATTGATATTCTGCATAGTGTATTATTGCTTTTTTTATAAATCATATCAAAGAATTATTGTATTGTTTTATAATTGATGGTATACGATTTTCAACAGGAATTTTAGGTTTTTTTTCTGTATATAACGGTCTAGTAAAAACTATCATTGAAGTTTTTTTTTTACAAAAAATTTTCCTCCGATCAACATCCTTCTATTGTTTTGTTTGACATATGAAAATGAGGTTTTGTAGGTCAATAAGATAAGAAATTTCAAACTACCGTCTACTATCGTCATCAATAGAACATCTACTGATGTATCTATCATCATTATTGTTACCACTGCTATCATTTCCTTGATCTTTTACTCAAATTATTGCATGATAATTAGAGCTGATATTTCAACAAATCCTCATGATAACATCTGCGTGTATTATAAATAATTATTTAACTGTAACAGAAAAAAAAGACTAATAGAATAAAATCATAGCACATACATAGTCGAACCAAAGTGAAATATTTAAATTGATAACAATGTTTTGATTTAGTTCGCGTTTATTAATATATCATTCTATTTTATTTTTGTGGAGTTTTCATCAGTGAAAAAAAATTGCTACAACATTTAGTAATGATATGTGATCAAGTGAAATCTGTCATTATTCATTATTATTTTTTTTTTGTATCTATTTAAAACTGATATGCTTATTAGCTGTTAATTGTTAGAATCTGTATCAATCCAAATGATGGTAAAACATGGATGCGTAAGTGAGCTCCAAATTTGGAGTTTACATGTGAAGCTCACTTTTTTTGATCTGAATCGACTCAGTTTTCGATGCTGATTCCGAATATGTAATAGAATTAATACAGTCCTATGGTAATTTTCAGAAATCCAGCGTAGTTTTTTAAAGATCAGCTGTAAAACCGAGCTTCGAATTGTTTTTCAAAGATTTTGCTTATGAAAGTATACTCCTGAGTCTTATTTATCAAATGCTGAAAACCGCAGGTCTATATCTCATTTCTATTAAGAGTTATTCAAAAAACATCCGACTGCCTTGACTTCTGACGCCGATAGTAGTTCATAAAGATCTACTTGAATGCAGTTCTTTTTTCCAAAATCATTGACTATTACAATAAAAACAAAAATTTTATCTCTTTTGATGAGCTGACTTGATAGTCTATTTTCTAACCAACAATAACAAAAATAATGGATAATGTTTTTACAAAAAAAAAAAACTATTTCATTAGATTAATCACAATTGAAAATGATTTTTGTCAATATTTTTTATTAGTTAAAATCACATAATGAGTCCACATCCATCTTTTTCAATTGAATAATAAGGTTGTTGTTTGTCAAAAGATAATAGAATACAATTGCATAATTGTTTAATAAATTTTTTATGATTTTTAAATACAGTTTCGAATTCATCACCATCTGCCGAGCTGAATTTATTTCTAAAGCAAAAGCCAAAATCGCTAATTAACAATGCTATCTTTGCAATTATTTCACAATTTTTATCATCGACAGTTTCTGGCAAGTCATACATAAATACACGTAATGAATGCAATTGTGACCAAGTTGAAAGTGTATGTAAAACTATTGACCAGTTTGATAGCATATAATTAGGATAGGTATAAAAAAGTAGAAGACGAATAGAACGAACATTTGTTGGAAATGATAAATCGTTCAAAAAACCAATACTATTTACAAGAGTTATATTGCAAAGAGTAGATAATTCTATTGGAATAGATGTATTCCAAAAGGATAAGTGGAATGTTTTAATACAATCTGAGAAAACTACATAAGGTAAAGAGTATATAGATGATGCCAAAGTTTGACCTGATGCATCTAATGTACGAAGAGATGATTGATTAATTGTCATTATTTTTTGAGAAGGTAGTTCAAGCACTTGTACTTTAGTAATCCATTTGTATGGAATATATTCATGAAAGAATTCATCAAATTTCCACGGAAGAGTATACCGGGGTAACCACTTTTCGTCCTTGTTTTTTTTTACGGACATCGGTCAGAGTAGTTCGATCCGAACTCCAGTTTCTTCGAAACAGTCCGGATGTTCGGAATGAAAAGTCCGGAAGATCGGAATGAAAAAGGCCGGATGTTCGGAATGAAAGTCGTCCAGGTGTTCGTAACAGAAAATACAGGATGTTCGTAACATAAAATGACGGCTGTTCGGAATAAAAAATGACCGATGTTCGGAATGTAGAATGCTGAATATTTGGAATCAAAACTACGGATGTGCGTAAGAGTGAATGACTGATGTTCGTAAGAAAATACTCCGGTTGTTCGTAAGAGAAAAGAATTGGTTTTTTTATAACAGTTTATTTTCTTTTATTTCACAGTATAGTCTTTAACAAAAGACAAAGACAACAAAAATTTATACAAGTGAGAGAATAAGTAACTTTTATAACAGAAAAAAATGTAATGTTTAATATTTTTTTGCAGCATGTCTTGTTTTTTTCTTTTTTGGAATTTGTTTCATATTGTCATCATCTGTTTCATCTTCTTTTCGTTTTCTTTCACTCGATGAACTGCTGGCTGAAGATTTATGAGAATTATTAACAAACTGAACTCTACACTATTTTAAAAAACTCTAGCTGAATGTACATACGAGAAGAGGTCGCTACACTCAGCGACTTAAAATATACTATATGAATAAATTGTTTTCTGTGTTAAAAAACATACACCAAAATTCACTCAGAACATCCGTCATTTTATGTTCCGAACATCCAGTATTTTTTCGTTCCGAACACCGGTCACTTTTTGTTCCGAACATCCGTCATTTTATGTTTCGAGCATCCTGTATTTTTTCGTTCCGAACATCTGGACGGTTTTCATTGCGAACATCCGGAAAAACGATTTTATGTTGTATATCCGATTTCGAACATCCGGTTATTCGACCGGATGTTCGGAAGAGCAAGGACGAAAAAAGACACACCCGAGTATACCACATATGATGATAATATTGATATCCGTGAATCTATAAATATAAAGTAACGTATGATGAACAAGTAATGGCATAAAATGTTGACTCCTATTTCCCTTCGATAGACAGGTGATGAAAGAAAACTTTTTTTATCAAAATATAGAGCTTTTTCTCTTCTCTCGAATTGTATATAATTTATTTTTATAACACGTTTGTAAACGAAACGACACAACAAAAAAGAGAGACACCATCAAAGCATATCCGCACTTTTTGTGGAATTTAGAAAAACAACGGAAGATGTTGATTCCTATATTTCTTGGATAGCTCTTCAATAAACACGTTTTGAAAATGAAATTTTGTTGTCAGTTGATAGGAAATTTGCTCCTCTTTCGAACTGTGTATGATTTATGTTCGTCACACATTTGTGAGTGAAATGAAACAAAGAAGACAGACAAACACTGACGCAATAAATTCGCAACTTTTATATGAATTCGTCAAAAACATCTTGCTAGACAACAATTAATTTGATCTTTCCGTACTCATTAAAAAGCTCTTGTAAAACTGTAGTTACTTCACCTTTTATGAACTCGTTAAAACAGCTTGTAAAACGATAGTTAATTATACTTAACTACTATTTACCAGACGTTTTTGACTGATTTATATAAAAAATTGCAAATTTTTTGTGCAAGTATTTTTCTTTCTTATTTCTCTCATTTCATTTACAAATGTGTGTCAAATATAAATCATATACCATTCGAAAGAGGAGAAAATTTCCTATCAACTGATAACAAAATTTTCTTTTTAGAGCGTATTTATAGAACAGATATAAAGGTCGACATTTTGTACATTCTTTTACAGAAAAAGTGCGGATATATTTAGAGGTGTCTCTCTTTTTTATTGTGTCGTTCCGTTTACAAATGTGTAATAATAATAAATCAAATGCGATTCGAAACAGGAGAAAAAGCTCTATCTTTCGTTAAACAAAGGTTTTCTTTCATCACTTGTCTATCGAAGAGAAATAGGGATCAACATTTTGTATCATTACTTTTGCACCATACATTATATTAACATATTATTAGATCAATCTTAGATTATTAAGTAAAAAAACGAAGATTTCTTTTTTTCTTCATGTGGGTGTGGGGTGGGCGTGGGTGTGGGTGTGGGGTGGGTGTGGGGTGGGTGTGGGCGTGGGTGTGGGTGGGTGTTGGTGTGGGTGTGGGTGTGGGTGGGTGAGTAAGAAGAAGATTAAAACCCATAGCCACACCCACCACACACCGACACTCGACCCGATCAAGTGACGCGTCGATTTTTCTTGAAACAATACGCATTGGTTTAAATTGTGCTTTCAGTTTTTGCTGTTCTTTTTGTTGTTTCATGTATTGTTCTCCTAGTATATGACTGAGAATTTTGAGATGAGGTCGTATCTGTGTCTCACTCTTTTTGTGTTCATATATATTTTGTATATGTAACAAAATATGTTTTTGTTTTTCTTATTGGCGCCGACGTCTATTCTTTTTCGAATGTCGACGACTTCGCAAACAATGAACTTCAATATAAGAAAAAAACAAATTAAAATTTAGAGTTATATAAAACAATTCAAATGAAAAAATGATATATATTAACCATTTTGAATAGCGTTGAATTGTGATAGATGCTTGATTTTTATAATAATAATGGCGACCAGAATACATATTTACAAAAATAATCGGAAAAAAACAAATCATTTGGGCTTTCTTGTAGAGTTTTGTGTACAAAGTCGTCTGATGAGACTCTTAAGCAAGGTCGAAATCCATCTTGATGCGCTTGACCCACCCTCAAGATGCTATTTAACTCAATTCGTAGAGTTAAAAATCGTCTTCAGTTAAGTGCACTGAATCTGTCGTGCAACTATTTCACTTCATTTAGGTTTGTGAACGAAGCTTCATTCAATTTTGTCCATACTATCTCGCAAATATAACGTTTAACATAATGCAACTAAAATAATCAACTGAATACCATTCATTCTGTATATTTTGTAATAATTTGCTGAGCTACATCGATGGAATTAGTTATTTCTTTTCTTGTAAATAGTAAACACACTATTTACTTTACACGTGTTAAATGCTTTAAACAGTTAGAAAAAGCGTTTAAATTCAGTTTTAACCGTTAATTATCTGCCTGGGCGATAACATCATGCAGAAAAAGGATGCACTATTTCTCACGAACGTTAGTGACAATAACAAGAGAGCAAACATGAGTCAGTGACTGCTATTTCTCTCGATATCTATCTCAATCCTTATCTTGGCTCTGTTAGCAAATACGTGAGAATAGAGGCATGGCTTTTGTATTATATCATTTATATATCATCAAAACATTGACTTATTCATTACATTCCTGCCGAAACACCAACCAACAATAGTCGTAATGATAAACGTCACTAAATGGATGTGTCTGTTTCTTACAGTATCATTGATAATTGTAAACTGCCAGGCACGAACAATCAACGAAGTTGAGAAAAACAGTAATCTTCCAGGTGAACATCATCACAATACTCTCAAATCGGTGAACGCAATTTTCAAGGAACGTGGTGCTCCTTGCTGTAAATGTCCTGCTCATGCACCATGTAATGTCAAATGTTGTACAGTCGGCTAAATATATCAAGTACGTAGTAATGAAACATCGTCTCTTAAAGGAAGGAATTGAGAAAACAACGCTGATATATGGCACATTTGGAAGATGTAAAAAAGTGTATTTCTATTAATTGATTTCTCTTTGATCTGTGCAATTTCTATGTTTGCTTATCATTTTGAGCACTATATCTCCTGAATTAATTGTATATTTTTTCTTTCAGGCGATACCGTACAAACACAACGAACGTACGTTCAACACCGAAATAGCTCCTAGCAGAACCATCGTTCTTGGTCAACAGTTTTTCTATGATTTAATTCTCTATTTCTTCTAACATTTCCTTTCAAATAAACATTTGTTCCCATAAAATGCGTTGATTTATAGCCTTTAATAAACAGCTTTGCTGGCTGCTATATAATAATATGAAATATCTTTCAATGTGATATTAAAAGACGACGCAGATGCTTATATTTTGACTACAATGTTGTAAAACCAATTCGTAAATCGTTCTGCATTGTAGGATATCGAAATTTTTCAAAATAAAAACGGACTTTGAATGTTTCGTTTAACCAAGATAATATCTAAAAACTAGGAATAACCCAACACTTTCTAGGTGTTCAATCATTGAGTACTCCACTAAAACCTCACCCACATTTTGTACAAGGAAAAGGTTCAGTACAACAGCATCAAAACTATTTCCGTATTATCGTGAAAAAGAGTTCTGCACAAACTGTATGAATAAATATTTGCTGACTTGCTGTGGTATTTTTTCTAGATGAATAAAAGTGAAGATCTACGTCAAGTTACTTTCGAATATCCCAAAATTCTTGCCGCATTTTCTATACAATTCTCTTAATACTTTCAAGGACACGTTTTTTTGTTTGACTGAAATACGGATAGCATAGGGATTAGAAAATATAACGCATTTGATTGCTTTAACAATAAACTTTGGACACAGTTTACGCAGAATGCAATTATTAACAAAACCGACCAATGACTTTGAAGGGGTTGCTAGTGCTAAAATACATACAGAACAATAGAAGACTGGGTGTGGGTGTGAGTGAAGAGTATATTCATACGCATACCCGCACATTGCGTTTCTTAAAATAAAGCAATATTATAGATATAAAAAGATTTTGTCAGCGTTCAGTCGCATATAGGACAAAAAGAAACAACGCTATTTTTTCATTTGTTCATTCGCCGTGAATTGTGATTATAGAAAACTGTCTCATTGTTTTCATTGGTGATGAATGACGACACGGTCAAATACAGAAAATGAGCATATATATATATATTCATATTTATAAACGAAAAGAACAGATCAGTAAAAATAAATATGGAACATTCATCCGTTGAGTTAAATTATTTACCCGATGAGATTCTTATGATTATTTTGAAAAAATTGTTCAATGTCGAAGTATTGTACTCTCTAATAGGTGTTAACAAACGACTTTATGCAATTGTACATGATCCGATTTTTACAAGTCACTTAACATTGATGAGATGTGTCTCATCTGATTCCATCGATCCATTACCTGATCCAATACTTGATCAATTTTGTTTATAAATTTTACCTGAAATTCATCATAAAATCAAATGGCTTAATCTTGAATCATCATCTATGAAACGTATTCTTCTTGCTACAAATTATCCGAATTTATATGGTGTTGATTTATATGATATTGAGATAGAAATAGCTCTGTCTCTCTTTATTGGTAAGACATTTTTTTGGATTGTTTCAATAATTAATTATTACTTATAATAGATTCTTTTGTAATTAAAAATCTATTATAATCAGATTCTTTTTCCGGTTTTTTTATATGGGTTATCGATACTGGTCAAATATGACTTCAAAATCACAACAAAACTTTATATGTTTTTTTTTTGTTTTAATGAAATTGATGAGCATTGTTTTCTTCTATTTCCTGACGACTAATAAGAAGATTTTTTTTGTCATTTATCTAGATGATAATGTTGGGAAAACTAATTATTGTTGATATAAACAAGTATAATAACCGCTTTGTTTTAGTGTCTAGTAGCTCCATACTATTCTACATAGATACTACTCTAGGAAGACAAATATCAAGTGACAATATCATTGACACTGAAAATTCTAGTAGTATCAATAAGTAAAAATTTCCATATATATTTGATGTATGTGAAGTTAGATCTGCATTCGGGTAGTTTCCTGCCGAATTCGGTCATGAAACTATTCCACAACCCATATTATTGTTCCAAGTACAAATCGATGAACTCACATCTAATGGTGTAAGTGAGATTTCCCATAGGTCATAAATCTCTCCCAAAAATCTTCGTTTATTAAATATTTACTACAGCACTCAGTTATACATTACCTTATGCCCATGTAAGATTCGTCCAGGATATTATTCCAAAATTCATATTCTTGTTTCAAGTAGAATTAAACGAGTTCTATCTAACTGTATAATTATATTTTTCATAGTTCATATTAGTGGCATGCCTTATTAATAAACTTCATATTCTAGTATATATTCTCGTGTGTGGATATGAATGAGTGAATGTTTTCTCTTTGCCCACAGCCTATCGCTTCTGAAATAGCATTCGAAAAAAATAGTTTATTCAATCAATAAAATAACTAGAAAAAAAATGAGTCAAACAAGAGTTCAATTATTCTTTGATCGAAATTCAACAATTAAGAACACGAACTTGGATCTATATTGAATCTTTGTACTCGATGATTGCATTGATCGACGACATAGAAATTACCTTGTCGATCGAATGATAAACCTGTTGGTTGATTAAGTTGATTCGGTTGTTCTCCTCGACCATTTCCACCAATCACGATACTTCCTTCTGTGGCTCCTTTTAACCAACGCATTATTCGATTATTCCAAGTATCTGCCACATAGAGAGTGCCTGATTGATCAACAACGATTCCACACGGATGAGATAATTGTGCAAGACCATTTCCGAGACCGTGACCACCAGCTACGATAATGCCTTCTTTTGCACCTTCTATCCACTTCATTACACGATGATTTTCATTGTCTGATATGTATACTGAATGATCTTGATCGACGAATAACCATCGAGGACATTGCAATTGATCAAGTCGATTTCCACATCCATTGCCACCTGCAACGACTGTTCCACAACGTTCGCCTGCTCGATATTGTAATACTTCATGTTTTTTATTATCAGCGATGTAGAGAGATCCATTGTTGTCCGTGATCAATCCGACGCAGCGAACGTTCGAAACAATTACTTCTCCTTGTTTACCATTTCGACGTGGCCATCGAACTACTCGTAAATTATTATAGTCACAAACAATGATACTATCTCTTTCATCATCAATGATCAGATCAGTTGGTGAATATAACTGGTCAGTTCGATATCCTTCAGCATTTCCACCGGCTACCACCTCACCTTTCGTAGCACCATTTTTCCATTTAATAATACGATGATTATCAAAATCAGCAACATAAACAGATTGATCATAATCAATACACAAACCAGATGGTCGCCCGAGTTGATTTATTGAATTGCCGGCTCCATTTCCACCAGCTACAGTATGACCATTTGATATCCATCTAGCATTAGCATTTATATTCATTGAATAGAGTGGTACTAAAAGCAAATAAAAAAAATTTAAGAAAAAGTATTGATCAAGTCTTATAATACTAGATATAATATCTATCTTCACATTTTATTAATATACTCGTTAAATTTATTCTGATACAAAATTGAATATTTTTCGAAATGACGTATTATTTCATTTTTATATCAAGAATTTTTCTGAAGAATCTTAAATAGGAAATAAATCTCACTACTATTCTTTATCAAAATCGACACTTTTGTAATGGACATTTATGATTTTATTTTGTAAATCATTGCTCGAATTTTCACATGCACTTCAATTTAATTAGAGATAATTTTAATCGAAATTGAAACTTTCGAAATTTATTAGATTTTGGAAAAATTCTTGACAAAAAAAGAATGTATAAAAAATATATATATCCTATACGATAGTACTTTAAAAATGCTGTCAAATTATGAAACGGAATTTTCTTTTCTCGTTATCTTTTGTACAATCTCAAATAAAACAAAAGTTGATTTTGAAAAAACGAACATGCTTGCTAAATAAGCAGAATAATTCGATTATTGTTTTGAATATTGAAATACTTGAAAACGAACAATTGTGGAAGATATAATGGATTATCTTTTATAAAGATAGGTTTAAAACCTAACATTAAGCTTATTCAACATATAATATGTTGTTCTACAAAACTGTCGACGATATTTTTCTACGGTAATTTTTATGTTGATACTAAATTGAAACAGTACAGAACTACTCAACCGTTCGACTGCGATAGTCTAAAACTACAAAAAAGAAAGCCGTTGACATTCTTCGAATAATAAATTTATGAAAACTTCCCTTCTGTAAGAATACTCATGATAAAATCTTACATCTTTTCAAGTTTTATTAAAACTTCATGAAGAGATATTCGCAAGAAATAAATTGGAAAAAGCCGAATTGTTTCATCATGCAACTTTATCTATACGAATAACATGAGAGTTTTTATTGTTCTAATCGAAAGTCACACGATTTCGTTCAGAATTAAATTCAAAAATCAGCAAGATATCAATAAATGAGTTATTTATCAAATGTGAGTTAGAAAATCAAGACTTTCTATAATGTATCAAAGAAAAAGTCAATAGAGCTTTATATTCAGCCTTCATTTTTTTATAAATGATAAGAGTTATAACATGGCAAAAGTCGTACAAGCATAAACTATCAATTTCTTTAGGTTTTTGGTACGAATTACTTTAATTTTAGCATCCGACTTGATGAACATGAGTTTATACAAATCGACAAATGTTCTCGAAACAAAAACAGAATATTACAGTCAGACGATTAAGTAACTATGGATTATTTATATTTTTTTTTTTGAACAAAAACATTGCCTTGAAAAAACGAAGTCGACAGTTTTGTAGAATAACACATTCAATATTGAATATGTTCAAAGCCAAGATTATAAATCTATCTTTAAAAGATCCAACAATCAAAAGCAAAAGTGTTCCGTTTTATCTGGTTATTATTTATCTTCCATCAAAGATTCGTTTACATTAACTCACATAATTTTTGTTTTTCTTCAACACTAATTAAATGATTCCAATCGATTTCATTATTTTCTACTATAATAAATTTGCTTTTCTCCGGTAAATTAAGTTGTTCTAAGGATAATTGTATTTGATTAATAGTCATTCGAAATCTTTCAATATCATCTTCAGCAAAATCATCATCTTCTTTGAGAGTTGTTATTTCTTTTGTTAATATTTCAAATTTATTTATTAATTGATTTCTATCTTGATTAAGTAGTTCGGTAAGTTGATAACGAATTTTTTCAGCCGCCTTATGTACATTCTTGATTGTGTCATTCTCCCATTGATCAATTTGGGATAAAAGTTCAGTTGAAGGAGTCATCGGTTGATTGACTTTATTGATTTGTTTGAGTAAGTTGTCCTGAACTTTCATTACATCAACATCAAACTTTATTGATAGTTGCTGACGATGTTCATTAAAATGTTTGACACAAAAGTATGACTTACATCCCGCACAGTTACATTTGGCCGCAGTTTTATCGCATACAGAACATCGATTTGGTTCTAGTCCTGTTGTCATATCTGTAACACGACAATAAATGATACTAATTCATAATATAAATGATTACTATAGTATATTATAATATTACCTTGAAATGCTTAGGAATGATATTTGAGAATTGATGCTGTAAACCGTGGTCGTTTATGCGCTCTTCATTGATTTATGAGTGCAAAGAAAGAAAAAAAGAAACAGTCCTTCAGTTTTTATATGTTCTCCAATTTCGTTATTTGTGGCCATGGAAAGAAAAGATGTCAGAATGAAATTAGTTGATCCTAAGACGCAGGAACGGAAAAAAATCATGGACAACGTTATGAATGAGTCACGTATTGACAATTTCACAAGAGCGAATCATGTTCTCAGAGAGAGAAAAAGAAAGTGGCGTTTGTTTTGTTACCTGATTGTCAATTGATTGTTGCTTGGATATAGAGAGGTCGACTCCATATAAAAACTGAAGAGCAACAGAAAAAGTAGTAGCCAATGGCAATTGTGTGCATATGAAATGCAAAATTATTTTAAAATGTTTTTTTTTGGAACATGTGCCAGTTCGACTGTAGTCATTTTTTGACAAGCCAAAAAACGATGATCTGAAAATTGGTAGTTTTGACACATTTAGATATTTGAAAATATTCATTTACTTGTGAGCAAATAAAGGTTAACTTTTTGAAAAACAAAGTATGATCAACCGAGTTTTAAAGGGCTATCTGCCCATATGGATCTACAATTATAAAGTTTATAAAAGGCTTCACGAGTTATTGATCAACAAATGAATTTTCCATTCGACACTGCTTCTTCAATAGTCTTTAATAGAAACAAAATTAATGCAAAATTTTTGTATCACACGTTATACATATATCTATATACCTTGGTCCCAATGAAATCTAGACGTTTTAGAGTGTGGGTCAGTTTGAACAGAAAACCTTTACTACATTCATGATCATACCTAAACTCAAATAGTGGTATTGGTGCCTAACAATGTTTAGTTAGCATTGCTTATTTCTCGTATTTCTTGTCTTTTTTTGAAGAGTCATATTGCTGAACATCTGATCATTTCTCTTGCAGTCGATCACCACATTCAGCCATTGATCCATTTCGATCATTACAGCCTTTGATCTCCTAGAAAGTGTTGGCGTATGGTACCAAACATTAAGATTCCTCTTAAAACTCGATTTTTCATATTTTTTTCATGGGTTGAAAACTGATAATGTCTCTAACGGAGTGTTACCCGTAACGGATACAGCAAAAAATCCTGGAATTCAAATATATACTTGCTATAAAATAGTAGCTTTCAGAAAAGCTTATTTTCCTCAATTATTGAATGTTACGAATTCAGATAAGAAATGCTTCGAACTGCATGCTGTTAAAGATATTTAAAAATTTGATTCCAAACATAATTATGTATTCCTACATATCGTACCGTCGTTGACATTCATCAAAACAATGATTTGACGTCATGAACACGAAATTATACCTTTCGAAAGTCCGTGAATAGAACACAACTATTTCAAATAAGATCGGTGAGTACCACACTCATCTGCTGCAGCACACAGTGGTAGCATAAAACGTAGCGCAAAAAACATTACATAGTTTGTACTAATGGAAAGAATGACTACCTACGATGCAAGTAGCTGTTTGCATCATCTACCACTGCTCAATGATATTTTCATGCAGAACAGTGAGTCATGCTTCACTGCACTTTTTTTGCTTATTGCACCATCTACTTGTCACTTTTGCTCCGCTTTCTCATTCAACTCAAGCAGTCTCCATTATCGAGTAGGCAATCAAGTTGGTAAATACAAAAAAAATATCATCATCCAACTATATTGACACAGTGGCTCCACTTTATTGTAGTGAATGATGATGGAACTGTTGTGGCTTTGCAAAAATATGATATGTTAGACTGTCAATTTTTATTCATTCACACTACGCGGATGGTAATTTTGGTTATGAGATTCTTGTGCTGAAGCATATAACGTGTGAACGGTCGCAAACAGATATCAGAAATCTCAATCTCATTCGAATTCATGTCGACAACGGCAATAAAGTCATGGATGTTTTGAAATGGTTGGCAACATTTTTTTATCGACTGAGATACGTTAATCTTTATAGTAGATAGATAGTGTGGGTGTGATAGGCTGAGTGAAGGCCTTCTTTTCACCCACTACCATCTAGCCACCTACCCACACACATATTCAGGACCGCATCCTCTATTGAATGCGTGGTTACCGAGTAAGGCCTATCAATCTGGAAGAAATCAGTTCAAGAGACAACTGATTTTTGTCTCTTCTCAAGTTGTATGAAAGCGGAGAGTTTTCAAAAACTTTAATTTTCTTGAATACATGAAAATATTAGCTTCTATTAGGAAAAGAACATGATAATCCAGTTTTCAAATTCTTTCCTAGCGATCGATTTTGTTATCATTTAAGTGATTGAGCGTAATTAAGAAGCTTGAAACCAAGAAATATTATTAATCAGATGCGTATATTCTTCTATTTCTTCGTTTGACATTTTTTCCAGTCAATGTCGAACAAGTCAAGGGGAACAAATTTCTCTTCAGAAAGCCAGACATCTTCTTTCTTTATCTTCATTGGTTGCATCTTTCTCAAATCTTCTTCCAGCCTATCAATTCGTTCCTTTAATTTCCTTGCATCATCCTTCACTTTCTTAATTTCGTCATCAATGGCCTTCTTGAACAGGGTCATCGGATTGCCAAGTTCATCTTGCAACGATTTAATCTTCTGTTCAAACGCACGTATACTGTCATTAATCATTTGTTCGAGATCTTGTCGTTGTTTATCAACTTTACTGTCGAGTTGAACAACTCTACTGTGTAATGATGTAACTGTATCGTCAAGATTTCCCATTCTTGTAGCAAGTGTTTTAAGATTGTCATCAAATTCGTTTTGCTTGTCTTGAATGATTTTCAAGTTTTCATCGTAATTTTTTGGCTCGGAAATTGTTGGCTGTGGGGATGTGTGAGTGGGCTTTGGCATGGTTTCGAACGCTTGTAACCGACGTTTGAGTATCGACACTTCATCATTGAGCATTCTAAAGTTAGTTGCATGACTTTCGCGAATTTCTTTCATTGCCAATCGAAGAGCGACGATTTCACTCGAATTATCAACAGGAATCGAGTGGTCCGCAGCAGGCATTCGTTGATTCATGATTTCATTCACTCTCCTTTGCAATTCACTGATTGATTTTTTGTTTTCACCAACTGTTTCCTTTGTCTGCCCATACTCCAAATAACCCACTTTTCCTCTTTCCAGTGCGTCGAACATATGGTTGAGGTTCTCTTCGACTCTGCCTAAATCAAGCTTTAGATTGTCAAATTCTAGACGCAATTTTATGTGTTCTGCGAGATCTACTTTTCCGTTTTCGATAGATTTTATACGTTCGATAAAGGCGCTGAACTGTTGATCAAGTTTTTCAAAAATTTGCTTTTTGACATCGATTTCTATGCGTAGTTGATCGTGCATTTCAGAAAGACGATTGTGATCTCCTGACAGAACCTGTAGTTTAATGTTAAAATCGGCTAGCTCCTGCGTAAAGTCGAATCGTTTAAGACTATCCAACAATTGATCAATTTCAGTCTGTTGTCTTTTGTCTTCCGCTTCGAGAGCTTTTTTATCGTGCATTTGTTCCTGTCTGACTTTTTCGATTTCTTCCCACACTTTCGCGAATGCATTGGTTGCTTTTTCAAGTGTTGCTACAAGCACAGTTAATTGAGAAATCTTTTTGTCTTGTTCGAGTTGGATAATTTTTAGCACATCTTGATCTTTCACTGCTTCATTGAGATCCGTTTGCAACTCTTCTATATTATGTTTTAGATTGTTCACCTCGTTCTGCAACGCATCCTTATCGCTTGTGAGCTTTTCTACAGTTGTCTTCAACACATTAACATCGATTCGACAATCTTCAAAATCTATGATTTTAAGTGAAGAAAATTTGTCTTCAAGGTTCTTTAAACGTTGAGTAAGGTCATCCAATCGAGAGCGCTTCTCATTAGTGTTCTCACGATCAGTCGAAGCAGAAACAATACGTTTCGGTGTTGTAGTGGCTCGAAGATTTTGACTAAGAAGAAAAAAAAATAGGATTTTCTTTATAATTTTTCGCTTTTACTTGGATGTTTGTGGTTGAACACGATCAGGCATAATGCGTGGAATAGATACTGAAGGTACATAGGGTATTTTCGTCAAATTTTCTCGAATCAGTTCCTAAAAAACATGCCAAATTGAATTTCTAAATGTATGAAAAATTTTCGCAGAGCAAGATCCATATACGAACAATCCATATCGAAATTTTGCATGATATATTGCATTAGAAAAGGCTTCGGTTTTATACTGAGAACTGCAAATTATGTGGAACTTTTACTAAGACCATTTTGAACCCTAGGAACGCTGATAAAAGTTACAACATAAAAACACCTCAGAAATATAAAGAAAGTTTTTTCATAACGGAGAATTCTAAGTCTATCATCCACAAGTGGAAACAGCTGTAGCTGTCGAACTAATTTTTAAGAAGGACTATCCTTTATGGTGACCACAGATCGACACCGTGCCAAGCATTATCGTATATGCAACCGTGATGCGCCTTCATTAACGGTTACCATGAATTTATTATTGTCATACACAGATAGAGAAGAACATCGTAACTTCCCATAGCCAATGGGCTGCAGAGAATTACCGTCGACATGGATAATTTTTTGCAGTACCTCGCATGAGAAAGTCATTTATTGCATACGATCCTTTTGGATGCTCTTTCCTTTTTAACTGTAAACAAATAGCTACTTGAAACAATGATATTAGTATAAACGTTCGCAAGAGATTTAACTATGACCAGTACGAACAATGCAGAAATAATTCACATATCCTAGATCATTCGTTTCACTTCAATATCAACATCAATATTAAGTTGCATTCACTCACAGAAATTTTTCATTAGCGATACATTTTTTTAAAGAGAACGACCGACATACACGTATAAAAATAAAATGATGGATGAGCATATGAGTATAATGATTCATGCACAAATACACCAATATAAATATATGTATCTATAGGCGTACGGGTAACTATAGAAGAATCATACTATGGGTTATTTAATTTCAATCTGAATTTAAACAGAAAAAAGAGCACTTGATTTCAAATTGAAATAAGGGACTAAGGGGACTAAGGAGGGGAGGGGGAGAAAATGAGGGAGGAGAGAGGAAGTGTGGGTGAGGGGGGGAGAGAGAAAATGTGGGTGAGGGGGGAGAGAGAAAGTGTGGATGAGGGGGAGAGAGAAAATGTGGGTGAGGGGTGGAGAGAGAAAATGTGGGTGAGGGGTGGAGAGAGAAAGTGTGGGTGAGGGGGAAGAGAGAAAGTGTGGGTGAGGGGGGGAGAGAAAGTGTGGGTGAGGGTGGAGAGAGAGAAAGTGTGGGTGAGGGAGGAGATAGAAAGTGTGGGTGAGGGGGGGAGAGAGAGAAAGTGTGGGTGAGGAGGAGAGAGAGAAAGTGTGGGTGAGGGGGGAGAGAAAGTGTGGGTGAGGGGAAGGGAGAGAGAAAGTGTGGGTGTGGGTGTCTATGCAATACAGATCTACACCCACACCCTTAGTCCCCTTAGTCCCTCTGCCTTAGTAAAAATGGGGTGCTATTTTTTATTCAAAATTCAATTTGAAATAAAAAAAACCCATAGACTCACCTCAGGATAGTCCGTTCTTAATCTACGATCAAGATCGGAATGTTCTTGACTAAGAAATAGTGAAGAAATAACTTTAAAAGAATTAGTATGAAAACAGATTAATTTCTTCTGTTTTGCTCAGTTGTTTAGACGGAGTTGTGCGCGAAAAAGAAAACGGTGAATGAACAGTCGCTACGCAGAACGTAACAAATGTAGGGTACCCTGTAGCGTTTTCCTCAGTAAAATTACAGATGTGGATATCCATACCAGTACATGCTCATTGAGCGGACTTTTATGGGTACCCTTGCAGTACCTATATCAGTATAATTACTGAGAATTTTCGAAATATCCATATTAGGTATCCTGCTAAGGCTTTCTCAGTACATGGGTACCCTGAACTCAGTACTTTCTCTGGGATAACTTTACCTACATTTTGGAGTTAACCCTTTGACGGCGGACTTATTTTTAGAAGCAATAAATTAAAGATTTATTAATAATATAGTATACTTTGAAAATTACTGACGATTATGTTTCTCACATTGAGACTTGATTTTGAGGTGCAATCTTGTTGCCAGTGCCATCTATGTCCGAACACAACAAATATTGAAAAGACTTGCTTTAGTATTTTTTGGTTTCGCTCTCTATTCAAATTTTGAAAACATAAATTTACGAGCTTCGCCGTCAAAGACTTAATAGATACATTCTAGTAGGTATAATTTTCTAAAAATAAACACACGTCTTTTTATTGATCTGCAGATTGTAGATTGAATGAATAATAGAATAATAGCATAAGATGTAGAGTATGAATCATTTTGTTTGTTGCTCCTTGTTCCTCTTATCATTATCACGGACAAATTTCATCTACTATGCACATACATACATAAAGTTCTATTATGATATTGCATTTTGAGTCACTCCCGAATGAGCTTTTTATACATGAAATATTTCCGTACTTGTCGCTGATCGATCTAAACTATGCATTCCTAATTTTAAATCAACGCTTTAACAAACTTGTACATTTTTTTTTGGCTAAAACAGTACATCATATACATTTAACACGTGATATAAAATGGCACGAAGCTGCATTCACCGTTGATCGTATTTTGCCGTATCTCGCCGACAACCATCATTTAAAAACTTTTGAACTAAGCCATGCTGATCTTTTTCTTAAATTTATAAATGATATTGATCGAATCAATACAGACTATCTTAATAAAATCATAGTAACACCATTCATTGATATTGATTTTGATGTCATGATCAAATTTTTATCTGAATGTTCCCAATTGAACGAAATAAAACTGAATGTTATGACTAATTCAGATTCAAGTTGGGCTAATGGTCGAAAATGGACTCGATGGTTTGAAACAATGCAGAAGAATCATCAGCATAATACTCTAAAAACACTTGATATATGTGTCTGGTGTATCAATACAAATGATGCAATTAATTTTGATCCAAAACTTTGGAATCGAGAAGGTGTTTATCGAGATAATAGAAGTTGGAAAGTACAATTGAGACCAGATCAAGGTTTGAATTGGCGACAATCGAGACGATCTGTTGAATTCAGTAGAAGTGATCAAGATTATTTGACACTTTTTCACAATCAACAGAATCCAACTTGCAGTGTTTCTTAGGCAATCATACATGTTTCGTTTTCTTTTTCTAAATGAATATTTTATCAAATTTTGTGATCGACATTATTTCAATAAAACACAAACAGCAAAGAATTCTAATTACATATTCTTGTTTTCTTTAGTCTAGCGCATCCATCCGTATGTTACTTTCAATTCATTATTAGCTTGTTGAAAATCGACAGTAGAGATTACTGGATGAAATTGTGAAAATGAAGTCTCTAACTTTGAATTGAATAAGTCTCTCAAGAGAGATTTCACTATTTGGTGCCACATCGGGTTTTTTTAAAGGAGACGTCTTTCTATAAGATCCTATGTTTGGAAATATCTCACAAAAATTTCGATGTTTCATTTAATGTATGTAAATGGAACAGTTATATCAGAAGTATATAAATTCAATTTTTAATGAGTTTGGTTGAGTTAATGAAAAGATAGTCTGACTTAACTTTTGTGTACTCATTGTTCGGCGTCGAAAAACTGCTTCTTAAGAATTTATTCTCCTTTTCTCAAAGTTGGTCATCCTATTTTGAACGTAGATGTGAGTGTGAGTATGCTTGAAAAGCGAAAAATGAATTGACAATGATATGAAATAAGTAAAACAACGCAAGAACAATTATATGATAGATATGAAAAAAGTAACAAATTTTTTTTTAATTTTTATATAGGATGTGGAACTGAGTGTCATGATGTAGGTGTGAATTTTGTGGGATTGTATGTAGGTATGCAATTGTGTATGTTGCTGTTGATCAGATCTGTATGTAGGTATTCTGCTTACCTACATGCATACTCACTCACACAATTATACTCCAAGTCATACCTCTCAAAAGTTAATGGCATGAATATCGTAATAGAGCATATGATCAGTCGATAACAGAAAAACTACCAAAAAGTTGTTGAGCGTACCCATCATAAGCGCGAGACTATTTTTGTACTAAATTATTTAGTTCTTCTCCTTAATCATTCTAGATTTCCTTTGATAGTTTTTCATTAAGCATATGACACTAAGCGTGACGATTGGAAATAATGTAATCTACTTGACTTGAATGTGTTCCTTGAAAATATCCGTTTGGACGTTCATGTAAGATCTGTACAACAGGTTGTACATTCATTTTAGGGTAACGAATCAGTTCTTGACGATGGAGTGCGAGTAGTTTTTGATATCCTTTGCGGACCATGTCGTGCATCGAATATGAAATAAGCACGATGTTCATCGCCTGCAATTAATTTATTAAGTTGAAGAAAGAATTTAATCAAACTAAACAGACCATTCTGATTTAGAAGCACTGAGACTCAAATCAATCATACATACGTAATTCTTACCGAGAGACTTATATGCTCTGTTTGAGTGTCACATGATAATTTATCATCATCGGTAAATAGTGATGGAGCATTAGAATAAGCATTTTTTCAACCACTCAGCAATACGAAATAAATCATAGATGAATATTCCATCGGGTAATTCGATAGCCGCCACAGAAAATAAGGTTGATTTGAGCGTCTGGCTGAATCTCCTCAAAAGTCGAGCAAACTTGCAGATATTGTTTCAAATTTCGCACTCTTTCGCAAAAGATCCATGCAAGTCTTCCAGGTGTTCGGAAAATAATTATGTGTTAAGCTGACTGGTAGCGCCAAATCGTAAAATTTGATGACTCCATCCATGTTTGTCACAAGTGACCATGAAAATTACATCAATGTTAAACCATTCTCATCTTATCTTTGTTTTTTGATGTTGTAGAGTCATGACTAACAATTGCACCTGAACTATTAGATAGTTTGTTGTTGATTTATTGAGAAAACGATGCAGTTTTGCGCAACAACCTTCATGAAACATTTTTAATCATTAACATTTACATCACACATATAGAAAATGGTGATAGTGAAAAGAGAAGAGAGGAAAACGAAGAATTCGATGCAATCTGCTGCCTTTCCTTGTATACTGTTCTATTATTTATGGTTCGGTTGAACTAGAAAACAAGTAAGCAATTGAACAGTATCAGACACTGAAATGAATAAAAAAATCTTCATTCGGATTCCATTCTATACAACTCACATTGTTACAAAAAAAGGATATTCTTATTTTTGCACACATTAACTACTACTTTCTTTCTAATTTTCTCGTCTCAGCGGTTCAATTAATTTTTCTATTTCTCCGTTTAGTAACCTTTTTTTTATGTATGGTTTATTCTTACGCTATTCAAAGATCATTTATTTGTTTAAAGCAGAAAGTAACTAGATTTTATATAATAAAATTATTCATAATAGTTCAATATTAATGAATTCGAGAGCAATGATATAATTGATGCTTGAAAGATAGAGATGTAAAAGAAATAGTGGATGAAAATCACTCCGTGATCTCGAGATTATTACAAATATGTATTACTTTTCTGATATATACATATCATTAGAAATTAATATAGTTTTTTATTGTTATACTTATCATACGAAAAAATTGTTGTGAGAGTATAAATAAACAGCTATCGAAAATGTTTAACCTATCAGAGACGGTCTTGATTATAACTTCTAAACTGGTGTTCTTTTCTTTTGTATCTTTATAACTTATTTGAGTCAATTCTGAGTGTCAGGTAACATTATTGAGTCAATTCAATTAGTGCCAATTACACATTTACATTTGAAAGTTCGAACATTGATTCTTTTGTTCCAGATTTCTCGACTATTGTACACCCAGCAACCAATTTTCATTCGGCCTTTCTTTTGGCTTCATCGCGCTCAACTGTAATTTAACGGCTGTCCAAATAAGATAATGAGAACTACAGCTCATCAAAAGATTGAGAGATTATAAAATTTTATTTTGTTTTCTTTTTTTAAGACAATAGCTGATCTATATATTGTTCGTATTTATTAGACTGTGACTAAATATATTTCAACCTCTTCTGTTGTTGATCGTTTCCCTTTGTTTTTTCTTTCCAATGCGTTTGTGATCCAGATAATAAAACACACAAAGACATTTCCATTCGGCTGAGTCGAATCGAATCCAATTGAATTGTTCGTTCATTCAATTTGGTTTCCATCTTTAAATAGTCTATAGATTCGTCACATTATATATTGATAGATTTCAGTCCAATAGATGTCATAATATCTTTGACGTAATTATTACTGTTCAAAACTCTTGTAGAAAACACTCAGATTCAGACTTAAGATATCCAATGCGAACAATGATTTGTAAAACTCTTCGAACTGACAAAAGCTATATTCTGTATTGCATTCAAATGAAAGGAAAAAACCACGGCTTGCTGACGTCATTGACTGAATAATATTCATATAATATCCTGTATATGATGCATTTAGAATTGAATTCTTCAACATCTTCGTCTTCAATTTGCAAACTAGTATCATTCGTAGAAAAGACATAAAGTAGCAAGGAAATATCAACGTTTATCCTCGTTACGACAATTCTTGAATTGTCACCTAAGTTTTTTAGGTGATCCAATTCCTTATAATGGCTATTTGATAAGAAACTTAGCAGAATCTCGATAATAGACACAATAATAAATTTTCACCTGATCATCATTTTTTTTGTTTAATCATAGAAGAACTTCATCTAAACATATCAATAGAGTGAGATAAAAAATTGGCAGCATCGCTCAAAGAAACGTGTAAGAAGATCGAATGACTTCCTCAAACTATTTATTCATCTGTGTTTGCTTTTGAGAGACAATCATTCGAGGTAGTATCAAAATAGATCATTCTTGTTTTTTATGCACCCAATGACCTGGCAAGACATCCTAAGTGATTCTATTTCACTAGATAATTTTCAATCTGATTCAGTAAGAGTGTGCTCAATAGATATGCTTAAAAGACAACTTAATTATTTCAACTATATCATCAATGAATTAATTTCAGTTTCTGCTCAATTTAAATTCATATAATGTGTTCATATACAAGAAAGCGACATCTACAATAAATTATCTAGTTTATTAGTCTACTCTTTTGTTTTTCTTCAAGTAAAATTAAATCTATAAAAGAATATATTTAAATTTGAAACAATAAAAAAAATTAACAAAATAAATAAATTTAATGGCAATAATTGGTTGGTTAAAAAAAATCCAGGTACAAAGTATCTCTTTTTTTTATCTCACCCTCTTCGCTTTCTGTTGCGTAGTGAGGATGTTAGTAAGTCGTATAATTCATCCTTATTATAAATTATTTAAACGAGAGAAAAGTATTTCATCTAAATCTGATTTTCGTAATCGATCATTATACAAATATTTTGTAGATATTCAAACACGGTAAGTTAAATTAATATTAAAATTTACAAAAAAAAAGAAACATAACAATTAGATGGCGTGACAATGATATTTATGGTCATGTTAATAATGTTGTTTATGGTGAATGGATCGATTCAATTGTTAATAAATATTTAATTGAAAAATGTTCACTTGAACCATTAAAATCTCCATTAATAGGTTTTGTTGTTTCTTCTCATTGTGAATATTATTCTCCAATATCATATCCATCAAAAATTTCAGCTGGCTTATTTGTTAAACGAATAGGTAAATCATCTGTTGATTATTCTGTTGGAATATTTGAAGATAATCAAGTAGAAAAAGCTTCAGCTGTTGGTGGTTTTATTCATGTTTTTGTTGATCGAATAAATCGTCGTCCTCAAACAATCAATGATGAAATGAAAAAGCAACTTTTATCTATATCAAATATAATTGATTAAAAACTTGATTTATTATTATTCAATTTTTAGCATTGATAAAGACTGTTTTTCTTGTTTTCAATCATTTTTTAGATGAACTTTTGATAGTTTTTGATCGTTTTAAATACAATTATTATTTTGTTAATGATGATAAATAAAATTGAGATCGAATAAGACTTAATCATCAATTTTCATTAAGAAATAAAACATAACTATTACAATAGTCAACTTCAATTAACATATTTAATATATTGATCTAGAAAGAAACGGAAAAATGAATTTTTTTCTTTTTCAGATGGTTCCAGTAACTGAAATGAAAATAGTCGTTGGAGAAGGATATGCATGGATTTTATTAGAAGCTGTTATAATAACAATTCATATGTGGATAACTGGAATGATGATGGGATCAGTAAGAAAACGATTTTTTAATAAAGATTTTTATCAAAACAAATTTCCTGAATATAAACGATTGGGAAAAGTTATGAGACCAGATGGTGGTTATCCTGATGATGGACAAGGACGGTTAGCTGATAAATTAGATGATGAACAATGGTTTATTTTTAATAATTATCGACGAGCACATATGAACTATCTTGAAGTATTTAACTTTGGTTTTTTTTAATTTTATTTAAATAAGTAAACAAATATTATTTTAGGGCGGTTTTGCAGTTCTAATTCCTTTATTAATAGCTGGTCTTTCTTATACTCGTTTGACTTTTTTTATTGGAATTGCTTATATAATAGGACGAGAAATTTATTCTCAAGGTTATCGTGGAGCAGGTTCAAAAGGTCGGCTTGTTGGAGTATTAATTCTTGATTTGGCTCTTTTGGCTTTATGGTCAATGGCTTTATATACATGTTTTCATTGGGGAAATGGTTTAAATGGATTAAAAAGACTTATTTTTTAAGATAAAAACATTTATTTCTAATCAAGATTATTTGTAAATGAACAAGCATTATTTTAATTATTCATTAGATTAACGAAAAAAAAAGAGAAAAATTCATCAAAATGTAATCATTCCGATTTCTTTTATTAATTAATAAAAAGAGAATTAAATGAAATATTTTTTAATTAATAAACAAATACTAATTCTATAATAGATAAAATGAGAAGGAAAGCAAAAGATTTAATAAGTGAATCTTTTAACTTCTTCAATATCATGTCGTATTGTTACAGATGAGATTAATGATAAACTATTACAACTAAATTCAACTAATGGAAAAGAATGAATATTATTTCTAAATTTAAGTAAACAAAATTTCAAATGTATTGTAATAATACAACAATGACTAAAAAAGAGAATTCAACCACCACTTTATTATTATACAAAAAAAAATGCTATTTAATAAGAAGAAAAACATCAATGGAGACTTAACATTCGACTAATATGGGTCTATCCTTGACTAATCTCTTTTTGTCATTATTAGCAGGACATTTTTATTCAGACATTCTGTTTTGTAGGACGCAGAACAGACCATCAAAAAGTTCTTCCTAGTAGGACACGCGATCCTTCTGAGTCCGGTCTGAAAGACGATTTTTTCAGTGGTTTTTTGACAGCGATATTAAACTTGTCTGTATGTGAAGTACGATGTCAAATACCATAGATCCTTTATTGATACAAAAATTATTTTACAATAATCATGTTAATAAATCTTATCACATAGTTTCCAGTAGGAATGAAATGACGGACTACAAGAAAGGATAAGTTGTCTGTTTACTACTTTTTCTTGAATTTCTCACAAGAACGGATAAATAATATTGTCAATTTGGCTTGACAATAAACGTGTTCATCTTTGAGCAGATGTTAATCCAGCTGAGTTTAATAGCCTTTCCACCGAAACATTAATCGTTGGTGTGGCATGTATTTTTCTGACTACTATTGATAATAATGGGAAATCATGACGAGTTTTATTATTAGACCAGAACTTCATTGGATCACATATCAATAAGACGACTTGGATGTTCTCTGACAATCACTCTTAATACGCTGTTGCACATTGAGTAGAAATATTATTTTTATAATGATTAAAAATGCAATTGAAAAATTAACAATTTCTTCTGAATTGTCAACATTATAAAAATTAGTAAGTCATTTTTTCTTTTTTAAATAATAGATATCTTTTCAAGTTTTTTTTTCACATAAGTTTACTTGTGATTAATATAATTTCTCCATTGAACAAAGATTTAATCAGTGACTGACACATAAAACTTCTTTGAAAAATTATCTAATTTTTTTTCTTTCTATAAAATGAATTTTAATTAATGAGAATAACTTTAAAATGAACATAAAGACTGAATTTAGATCTTATCAAAATTTTGAAACTCTCAGTGAAATCTTTTAAATCTTTGGACAGTCATATAAAAATCCTTTGTGAGTTTCCCATCTTTTTTTTGTTATGGAACACAGATTAGGGACCTACAATTACTTATACATGAACGATTCTAATTCTAGAAAGAATGAACTTTATTCATTCTTATTGCTACTGACTTTCTCTATCCTCAACAAATTATCAGTTAAACACATATTGCAATCAGGGTTCCAAATGGTACAGAATAATTCTATCCTCTCATTCATCAATAGAAAATATCGTTTCTTTCTTATTTTATTTTTTGATATAAAAACTTTTATACTTATAGAAGTTTATTAATCAATGAACAATAACGCTGATTTTGTGAAGTGCTGTGTGTTTCAAGATATTTTAAATACTCTTCTACTGTAACAGTTGATCATTTGAATAAAATATGATGATCATAACGAACATTTATTACGAAATATACGTATTAAGAATAGACAAACAGGAAAACTGCTTTTGAGTAAGAATGGTTTAGATAAGTTTGATAAACAAATTGAAGAAGATATGTCAAGTCCTGCGATATTGTGACAATCAAAAGTGAAAAATAAGCTTTGATTCTCTTCAGCGACTTTTTTTTTCTTATATACTTCTATATCGGTAGAGGTTAATATTCATATGACATAGTCTAGATATCTAGATCGATTTGTACTATAATTTCTGCTTTTTGAATTATTTTTGAAATCATCAAGTATAGAAAAAAAGCTGTAGTTGTTCGATCACTCAAATCATTGCAAGTTCGTTTCACTGTTTCCACTTGTCAATGTTGTCTTTTCTTTTATTTTTCTATGCTCATATGAAACGAAAAAATTATTCTATCCTTTTTTTTTCTTTGATAATAGTAAAGTGCACCAACAATAGAACGTACAAAATGATTCTCATAGTATTGCATCGTCAATTTTCATTACTTGAAATGAAATTATTCTGATGTCTGTCGTATTATATAGGATTCAATTATTTAAATTCAATTTATGTCCTAATTAATGGTTGGAAACAAACAATTTTTGACATAAGATTGCACTCAAAAAAAAGTGCTTAGTTTCTAACAAAAAAAAAATCCTTGTTTACTCTCATCTTTTGATATAGATTATGTAGGAATATGATCACAGATACATTTTTTTGACACGCAATGTGTTCATGAAAGAATTTTATATGAGAAGCTTTTCAGTTATTGCTATTACTTAGGGCAATCCAAAAGTAGCGTCGTTATGATCTTATTTCTCCATAGGAAGCTTGAAGACATTTTCTTTCTTGATGTAGTGATAGAGAAAACGATGCTCTATTTATCTGTGCTATTTGATTAGTATTCAACTAATATCATAATAATAAAATTTCAATAAGAACTGTTTTGGTGTGAAACTTCACTAACGGGTGAGGCAACTTAAATGTTTCAACCACTTAATGCATTGTATTAGAAAACAAAATATACCACAAGATGAAGTGCGAGAAGCTCTACAATCTACAAAAGACCGCTTATTTTATAATTGCACTTTGTGGTTTCAAAATGAACAAAATTTTGAGGGATCAATTTGTGACCATGCGAAAACGATATTTTTTGGTACAAGATAAATTCATTTTTTCTTATTGCATTTTTGTTGCTTGATATCTTTTATTTAAGAAAAACAAAATACATCACAAGATGCAGCGTGCAAAGCTCTACAATCTACAAAGTTAAGCTTACTTTAATTGTGTACTTTTTGTTTTCAAAGAAAAAAAACCAAAATTCTATGCGACCAATTTTCGCTGATCCGAAAAAGTAATATTTTTCTTATTTCATATATAAAAGAAACTGTTCTTTTATAAATTGTAGAGCTTTTCATGCTGCATCTTCTGGTATAATGCAAAGCATATTAATCTGTCTCACCCGTTAGTGAAGTTTCATACCAAAACAGTTCTTGTTGAAATTTTATTATTATGATATTAGTTGAACTACTGACTAAATAGCACAGATAAATAGAGCATCGTTTTCTCTATCACTACATCAAGAAAGAAAATGTCTTCAAGCTTTCTATAGAGAAATAAGATCATGACGACATTACTTTTGGATTGCCCTAAGTATATGTAATTTGGTGTTAGATTCATCACAATGCAAAAAATTTTATGAATGAATAAATATATCAAACGTATGTGCGGAATTATAGCACTCAATTATATTGAATGCATCAATAAAAGATTATCTTAGTTAATTGGATATAAATTTTCAATTTAAGAAATTCAACTTTCTCATAATCAAGTAATATAATGACAACATGAAATTTAGAAATTATTAAGATAGTTTTTTTTAACAATACGCAATTATTTTCATGTAATAATAATTATGAACAAAAACAAAAAACATAATTTTATCAAACTTTTTCGAATACAAATGGATTTAGTCTGTCATCATATGCTAATTCAAAGACACCGTTTCCTTTGTTTAATTCCGTGTCGTCATACCATTTGCCTTGAAATGTTTTTTCTTTAGCATTCCAAATAAGTTGAATTATTATTTCATGTCTAGATTTTGTTAATCTTTTAAACTTGATCGATCGATATATTTTTCTGAGACCAATTCGACGAGTTCTATATGAATAGAAACCTTCAATACCAAAAATACCGATATTATCTTTTCCACATCCAGTTACTGTCATAGATTGCGATTTAAATGAGAGAAAAAATCGAGGAGGATCATGCCATTTATTATATCGATAATATCGACTACTCCAAAAACCAGTTGGAAAAGTAAAATCATGTAAATTTGATCTTAGAATATTAGGAAATGCAAATTTGACAAAAGTTCTATTTGATCGCCATGGTTTGCCTTTACGCATGTTATTGGCATGGAAATAACACAAAATAATAAAGAAAATAATGAGTAAGATAATGGCCACACTCCCAACACCAATACCTATATACTTACAATAATCAGTGGTACATAAATTTCTACTTTTGAAACCATTGCAACATAAATAGCTTCCTAAAATAATTAAAAAGCAAAAATATACTAAGACTTATGAGAGAACTACCTAATTAATATCCACCCTTTGAATACTATATTGGATAGATAGGTAGGTTTCAGTAAAAATAGTAAAAGCTTAAAAGAATTCGTTCCCATTGACATTTGACATCAAGTTATGGTTGGTTAATTGGATTTTTGATCCACTTTTAGATGCTCTTCGAAAGACCAAATAACGAAGTTTTGATCTAAAATTTTGCCTGCAGATAAGCCTAATGACTCCTAGAATATCCTGAAAGTTTCAGTCGAAAAAGATGTTTCTTCATCAATATAGTGATTTTCCACATATAGTTCTTTGCCACAGACACGTCACAAAAATCGAGTTCCCTTGAAAGTTCAATATCTTGACGAAGGAACATTCTTCTCGGCTGAAACTTTCAGGATATTCTAAGAGTCATTAGACCTATCTATAGGCAAAATTTCAAAAAATTTCGTTATTCGGTCTATCTGAAGAGCACTTAAAAATAAGTAAAAGCTTCAGTAAACCGGTCATAACTCGACGACAAAAGCCAATGAGAACGAACCCTTTTATACTTTTGCTATTTTTAGTGAGATCTGCTTGCCTGTGGATCCAATATGAGTTCAAATGGCGAGTATCAGTTGGAGTAGTTCCTTCGTTAGCAACGAGAAGAATTTTTTACGAAACTATAACGTGATTTCAGTATATTTGTTTGACTTAGACTAAAACATATACCTTGTTGGTCGTAAGCTCTCGTTCCGAGCAAGATTACAATAAATAGTAGAAGAAACAAAATCATACGCATTTTGTTGCTAACACTGTGAATTGGACTGGAGAATTGAGAAGTGACTGAAGTTTTTTTTTCTTTCCTTTACTCAAAGACTATGCCTCTGGTGGATATATTGTCATATGACGATCAATTGACGAGAGCACATCCACCGTTTTTTTTTCTTTACTCTCTCAATGCAATTATTATTGTCATAGCAGAATCCAAACACAACATTCAAGCAAGAAAAAGAATGTCAGCCGAAGTTTTGAACTAGAATATGGCATCAATTGTTATGAAAAAATGTTGGAACAACACAGAAAATAAAAATTCTCAAATCCTTTTAGTTGTTTTTTTAAGCTTGTACACTTGTTGAACTTTCATGATTACTTGTTTTTCATAGGAGGAACAGTGAAGAAAAGAGATATCAAGGATTTAATCGACCAAAAAACTAAATCGTAATATGATTGTTCAAGATACGATATTAATTCAATCATAGTTTTCTGTTATTGACACCATAATGTTTTGATTATGAGGTAGGAAAAAATGTTTAATGCATAGAGTCTGTTTGGCTACACAGCTTATTTTAATAAAATACACCTATTCAATTAGGTGTTTTAGTACAATAACGTTATCTTATTACATCGATTGAATTCTACTCTAATTTTGTTTTTTTTTATAAAGCTAATTACTATATATTGTAGTACTATCAAGTCTTGTGTATTGTAAACCATCTGACATTGACTCATTGGATAATTAAAAGAACGCATGACGATTTATAAGACAGCTGGTATTTGTCGATAACATGAACTGTTATTTTTAGATTGTGTAAGTCGAATTATTACTACCGAAATGTTGTTTATTCACAAAGCTATGATTTTGCATTCTTCTACTTAAATTTCTTATTCTCCAACATAATAGATTTGAAATTTTTGACAAACATTTGTGAGGAAAACGTAGAAAGCTATAAAAAAAAGACCACAAATAAATACTGGAGATAAGAGAGTTAGCAGAATTATTGAATTCTGCTTGTTATAAATACTGCCACTGTAAATGTATCAATGATTTTACCAAAAAATTTCAAATCATTGCTGAAATCTTCTCATAACAATTTTTCTGAAGTTTATTATAGATGTTCTCATGTTCATCTCCTATTGCTTGTCGAATTTGAGCATTTGATGTGCCGATAGTAGGAGATAAACTAGGAACATACTTATTCAGCGTTAGTATATGTTTTCACTTACAATAAAAGATCATGTGTTGTAAGTTAAGGATATTAATCGTATTCAAGTTCAATGAGAGTTCTCAGTGTTAAATTAACTATTTTAATATATGAGCTGCCCATAGCATGTTCGGTTCGTAATATTTGAATTTCAAGATATCCAAAGCCTATGTCATGTGGCGCTACACTTCAAAATTTCAGCAACATTGATTTTTTCGTTTTTCATCATAGGTGGATAGAAATCGGCGAGTTACATACGAAAAAAAAAACCATATCCCGCATATTCAAAAACGATTTTTTACAACAGTCAGAATTTTTCTGTCTATCACTCCTATATTTAACAATAATGGTATCTTGGACTTTTTGGTAAAATTCGCTTTTGAATAGGTATAATATTATTTTTCCTTATGTACTTCGAATTCAGAATTTTCAGATCCGGACCCGTCCGAGACTAACCTGACGGGCTCTAGTGACCATATGACATAGACTGTAAATACTTTGAAATTCGAATATCTCGGTCTGTACATGGTATGAGCAGCTCATATTTTAAATTAGTTCATCTGACAGTGAGAGCATTCATTTGATCCGAATATGATCAATATCCTTAACTGACAGTACACGATCTTCTATTGTTATATAAAAACGTAAAAAATCGACTATGGACAATATCGAATGATATTGTTCGGTATCATCACGCATTTGCTTACCAGGAAAAATGTCTAAACAGTGCTAGATTTTTGATAAAAGTGATAGGTAATAGCACCTGTGTTATCATCAATTACTTTTCATATAATCACTGTCTAAGCATAGTATCAAATGTATGACAGTAATTATGAATAAATGTCTTTGCAAAATTCATGAACCAATTGATTCGATACATCATAGCAAGTACTGTACGAACATCAGTGATAGACCAATTAGCAATTGTTTCTGTGGTTTTTTAAAAGCACTGCTCTGCCACATTGATAAAGTGTGAAATTTCGACGAAATTACAATCAGTATTGATAGAAGATGATATTTAAGGCAATCGGTTTTATTCAAAAAAGTTTTCTTTTTAAGACAATGTTCTATTTTCAAATTCTTTGTTTGTATTACTCATTCTGTTCTTTATTCCTTTTTTATTTTATTGTTCTTTACCCTTTGCAAATTTTCATCTTTTTTCCACTTATGTAATACTCTAGCAATACATGTAGCAGGATAAAACTGACAAATTTTGATTATTGTTTATTTTAAAATTTAATTGATAAGAGGTCACGAGTAACAATGAATAATATTATTGAAGATTGAATTGTAATATAATAAGAATGAATGAAAATATACGTTTGAGAAATCGAATACCACTATTTGATTTTAAATGATTATTACATAATTATCATATTATTAAACTAGATATATATTTCATAACAATACTATCACAAAAACAAAGTAAATTTCATTTGGAAGAAAGAGTTGTAGGTAATATAACTCACCCGGTTTAAAATGAATTTAATTCTCTGAAGACAAACGTATACTTAATAAAGTTTAGCGTTTTAAACATAAAATATATTATATAAAATTCTTGGATTGTTAATATCCTAAAATTTAACATCATATTTTTTATAACGGTGGACAACTGAATACTCTCTACGAATCAGTGTAGCCTTTCTGTATTCTGGAAATTGAATTCTAAGACATGAAATTTTGAGTCAATTGGAAAAAGATGAACATATGAGTAACAAACTGAAATACATACAATAATGTAACTCTTTAATGTTCGTATGAATCCTTGTTTCTTTCTTTTGAAGCCTATAACTTGTATTACGAGTTTTATTTGTCATTTTAGTTTTAATTTTATTTATTTCTGATTAATATGTTATTTTTTACTTTAGACTACGCTTATTGTGAAAGTTTATACAACAGTAAACTGTTACTATGACGCAAAACAAGAAATCTTCCACCCATTATAGCCAAATTGTATCCTTCCTTCTCAATTTGTTGTTTAAGTTTTCCATTTTTATCGACCAATGTCAACATTTGAGGTCTGGAGCTTTCATCCATTACGAGCCATTCGTTATTAGTTAAAGAAATAAACGGAAAATTCCATTCATTATTAGTTAAAGAAATAAACGGAAAATTCCATTCATCTTTTCCATTGTTGGTTAGAGGAACACCACGGTGAATTCGTTGCATCTGTGTATCAAACAAATCTATACGCCAGTGCAAATCCTCTTGTCTAATACTTATCGCTAATATTCCAATATCATTAAGACGGATGCATGATGCTCCAGAATCACTGTTTTCTTCCAAATAACTACTTTTTGGCCACATTGTTTTTAGCTTGAATGAAGGCCATGAATAACGTTTGATCGAATCATGCTTATATAGTAAAAGTACATCATGAAAATAACTAGTAACAGACCAAATATTAGAATTACTTAGTGGATTGTTAACAGACGTATCGACTATTTGGTTATGAATAATATCATATGTTTGAAGTTTTTTCCCAGCAATCAGAAAGAGTTTCATTGTATCAGACCAACAAATATCCCATACTTCGTTACCTTTTGTATCAATAGATCGAAGTTGGATTTCGTTATTAAATAAAAGTAATGTTGAAGGGCTTTCAAACGTCAATATGAAATTATCTGATGCTGCTAATGCCAAACCATTTGTTTCTAATTGGAAACGATGAATCGCTGCCCTCTTCAGATATTCGAGTTCTAATGATGGATCAATATTCAATGTTGCTTCTATTTCATCGCATGGATGTTGACGTGTAAAATTGACCTCTCCATTTAATTTTACTTCATCATAATTCATGTGAATTACATTAGGTTTTTTAATATCTACAATTTTTTCCTCGAGAGATTGCAACTTCGTTACCAAAGTTTTCAATTCTTTCGGATGAACTTGTTTTTGTTTGGTAAGCATACGAGTAAGTGGTTCAACAATCTCGTGCGTAAATGATTCGATCTTTTTCTGTTTAAATTCTTTTACTTCTTCTGCAAGTTCATCGTATAACTTAGTCAGTTGCTGAACCATTTCAGCATGTCGAATATTGATTTCTGCGTGTATTTGATCTCTCCATTCGTCTATTTTCTTCTTACAATCTTCATAAAGATAATCAATTGACAGTTCAGTTAACTGTTGTCGTACTTGATTGGCACGGTCATTGAGTTCATGAGCATTGGCCTGTATAATTTGTTGATGGTCAAGTGTGTGTGGAATACAAAGCCATAAATCACAATGTGGACAAAGCTATTACAAAAGATAGAAATTTCACTACGATAGGAATGAAACAAACAGTTGACTTACTGAATATTGTTCTTCTTGACATTCGTCTTCATTCTCTGTTGGTACATGTTGACATAGGGTGAAAGATGAAGCAATAGCAGTGGCCATGTTTTACACGAATATATAACAACTTAATAGAATTAAGTAAAATTTTGCTGAATAATGGACCAATTTTGAATAGAGATGTGACGAAATAATGTGAAGAAACGTCGTATCTAATCGAACGTATTGAAAAGAACAAATACAAGCTTCCTTCTCTGTTTATGAATTTGACTGCATGAAGAATGAAAAAGAAAACTCTCACCTAGGTGACGAAAAAATATTGAAAATAAATAACAAATTACATTGAAGTGTCGATGATTTTAGTTACTTATGCACATGCTTTCATTAGCTATCAAAAACATACGTAAACTCATTGGAAGTTTTAACATTAAATTAAACATAAAAATCAATTGTCTGACTATCAGAAGAAAATGTCTGGAAGATTTAATGAGAAATATAAAGTTCAATTTTGTCCTTCCACATGCTTTATTAACTTGCACATTAGTTGAAAACAATGACAATATGCTCTCTTCTGTCGGTGAAATCGTCTATTCGTAAAAAATAGAGAAACTTATTTGAAAAGAGTTATCTTTATACTATAATTAATAACGAAAACATCTTTGAAATGAGAACTTCAATCAATAATCATAAACAGTCTTATTTTAAGAGATCTCTTCTTTCGGGAACAGCTCGACGAAAAATGATGAAACTTTCAAGGCATATAGATTTCGTTAAGCAGAGCAACAGTTGTCATACATGCAAAATTTCCAGAATCTTCATTTAGGAAGCTATGGGAGTCGCAGAGGTAAAAAATAATCAGAGGCTTTATCCCATGCAGAACTCTATACTTTATTTTTTCGAGCTGCAATTTTTTTATGAAAGCTAGGATCAAACCGGAGTGCATGTTTTTTTTCAAAAATACGGTTCCTAGAGGTCAGGAAAAGCAAAATAATGGAAGCATTGTAAAAAAAAAAA